TGTCCTCAGGGTTGCAGTAGAATGTTATCATTTTCTGTGTTGTCTGGTACAATAGTGATCATGTTGATTAGGTCATATACTATCAATAATATTAATGTCATACTATAAATTGATATATCTATAACTATTTTACAACCTGTAGTTCACTTTATTTCTATCTATTATAGATATATGCCAGTGAGCTGAGAGCAATTACTGTCATGTTGATAATAAAACCGTAAAAAAGAGCGAGTATATTTATATCATTATCTTATCCTTTTTTTTGTTATCAATAGCAATTAATGGGACAATATGCACTAGCTCAAACAACAAGTATAGTGATAAAATTCATTCTCCTTTTGCCTACAAATTCATCAATTATCAATATGAATGCGTTCAATTTTTGTATTCCATTAATGCTAATAGATGAAATAACCTTTTTTAATCTAATTTTCACTATAATGGTCGGTTTTAACTGGCACTCACTGCCACATTAAACTATATATAGACTTTGCTTGTACAGTATGAGCTATTTGTAGATATCCTGATGAGGATTATGTTTCCAATACGTGTATAGTAAGCATTTGCTGAGGTCATGTCAACCAGAAGTCTAATGTTTTATAGAAACATTATGAAACACAAGAAGAATTAATCTACATATTGTATGATGTTGGTATCAAATTTTTACAATTATCTGAACAAATTACAAAATTATCTTCCCGTTCCTGATATTTATTAAGAATATCATTTTATAGAAATAACTCAGTTTCATATTGAACTGTCCAGAATAATAATAGAAACATTTAATAAACTCATTCATCTTACATCAAGAAAATAATAAATCAAGCTAAATATGGAAACTTGGTAAAAAAAAATCTCAAAGGATTTGTCAATGCAACTCATTTTCAATTGGATCAATTCCTGAGATGAGCTTACGTAGTACTCCTACTAGTCATTCCTGTAATAACCCTAATTTCCCTCATTGCACAATGCAGAGCAATGACAGTCTTCATTAGCTTCATAAGGTGCAAACCCAAAAGTACATCAACCCAATTTAAGAGAAACTTTAATTTTGATAAATATTTGGATTGACATATTATGTAAGATTTGAGTTCTACTGGCCTGACCTGGAACAATACAAAGACAATTATAAACTCACATCTGAACTTCAGAAACCTTATGAACTGTCAAATATAATAGTTGTGGCTGGTGTGCCCAATAAGAGCATGATCATTTCGCCGATATGCTTCAAACTACTCTTCAGTTAGGTTTTTCAGCTTGGCAACACATTCTATTAGTCCACACAGCTCATGATCTTAAGAAAATATATTTATTGGCAACACTATTACAAGCCATATAGGTAACTGATCTATTCAAATCTATAATAATAATCTCTTACACGGGTCAGAATAAGGCATACTTTTTATGTAATGACCTGTCAAACTCTATAACTACAGTACATAGCAATTTATATGAGGTTAAGGTGGTTGAAAAGAAATGAATCATTATTCAATCAAAGCCACTGACACAGGGTCAAAGCTGATTTACATCACACATTTTGAAAGATTATTATCATTGTGTAACAGCCAATATAATGTAAAAATTAGTCAATTTTCAAAATAATTAGAGCACATGGTCATGTATTTCATAAAACATAAAATTACCTCTATGGACATTAAACAAAACTTAGATTAATTGTACAAAAACATAAATTGTTGTGCAATTATTTTGAATTTGGCACAAATTAGCTCTTTATAAAAGTAGTAAAACTTCACTACGGGTGTAGCCTGAATTGTTTGAAGACCATACACCAAGAAACTCAGAGAATCAACATGTTGTGTAACTGTACAGCCACTTTAAGTAGAGAAATTATTTCGAAGCAAGTCAGTTATTATCAGGAGTAATAGGATTATAGAGTGCCTGTTAATTGATCTATCCTACAGTTTCTATTAGACACACCCAGTGTTATATTGTCTCCTAATAACATTATTAATTATCTATTATACTCTAAAACTCTAGTGTTTTTACATTCACAAACTCAATTAATTTTCTAGATATCTGTTCTTGCAGAAAAGAGCATTATGCCTGCCGCCTACAGATTTTATCCTATTTAAGGCAGCATTAAAAAAAAACAAAGCCATCATATAATTCAAATATGAGTGTATTCTTTACCACCTTATTACAGAATAATATCAAAATTTAATTTTGGTTCCGTTGAAGAGAAATCATTAATTCAGCTGATCAGATATCTACAATAAGTAATTAAGTTATTTGTCTATATGATATGTTTTATATGCATTGATTTTGCAAACCACAGACTATTAGGGCTGGTATATATCTTAATACCGGTTTGGCAGTTTTAAAAATATTGTTTTCTTAAAAAATCTGTAACACTTGAAAATCTATTGAGCTATTCTAATATATCTTGTACTTGTTCATTGTCCAACATTAAATTTACAATCTTTAAACTAGAATTAATTCCTGTTGAAAAAAATATTTGATCGATTCCAAACTAATAAATTTAGTAATAACCGATCAATCATTGTCATTAAAACAACGCTGTCTTATCAATAAATCAATTAGATGCACCCACAGTTCACTTTCTTCAAATAGCTTCTCTTCTTTTCTACATGGCAGGGGTTGCTGATATATATAACCCAAAGGTCTTGTGCATGTGTTCATATTTATAAAACAAATGTAAAAATGGTCTATTCTAAGTAAAGCTAAGTATGTAGATTTGCTGGTTGGAAAATCACCTAGGCCAATGCATTCATGTTCTCATCAGCATCTAACACAAACTGTAAATATTTATTTCTTTAGTTCTCTGATACAAAGTTTACTTTCTTAAATGAAAAACGGTAGTTATATCAAAATGTTTTTGACGGGTGTGTCTTTAAAAAGATCTGAATAGTTCAAATTTCAATTAAGATGTTTACACCCTGTATATCATTAAAAGCTTATATTTATACACTTCTGATTGACCATTCCTTGCCCATTAATTCCAGAAAAACTTTATCAGATTATGATGCAGTATTGGTAGATCTATGTGAACTGACTATGACTCAGTGTGCTTTGAATATTTAACACCCCTGACATGGTAAACTAATAATATTTGTGCAGCTTCAAAACCAATATTCAGAAATTTAAGAAAACTTTAGTACAATTTTAAAATGTTTACAAATTTCCTGAAATATTTTTTTAATAATTTACAAATCTATGTCAATTGGGTTATCAGGAAAGCTATGCTGTTTGTTTTAAGGAATTCTGAGGCAGTCGGTAAAATGTTACTTCTTTACATGTCAGTTGCTTGGTTATTGGTCGTCATTTCAAATCATCTTGGTTGGCATTTGAAGTCTGAAAATCTTGAATAACACGTCTTAACTTATAATTCCTGTCAACCAAAGTCACCACAGTTAGTCGAAATCTTCAGTCGTATTCTATTCACCAGTTGTGGTCAAGTTTTTTTCAAATCCTCTTGCAAATAATTGTACAGTAAAACATGGTGCTCACTACTTAAAACTTTTTTTAAGAATAACTTTCTGGAAAGTTAAGGTTTAGGGTCCTAAAGAGAAGGTGTCCTTTACTGATTTTGAATCAACAATCAAGCTTTTATCATGCATGAAATATGTAGTATTGCCATTTTGCATCATAAATTAAATGTATAAGCTTATCTTCTTTGAAAGTTATTTCATAGAACAGTTGATTTACTTGCATAGCACATGGAAAAATCACATTTTTTTTTCAAATAATCAAAAATGCAATTTTTCCAACTGGTCGCAAAAGTCAGTCACAATCTACTTGAGTCAGTCAGAATTTTGGAATCTAACCAAGCCATAAATGGGTAGTTTCTTTCTTTTCTTTTCCCCTAGGCACTGAATATGTGTCATCCATGCTATATATTCGTGAGCAAGACAGGGTGTGCATATTAATTGCCTATTCAAAAAAATACATCACCAAAATTGTCTCTGATTTAATTTCAATAATTTCGAGTAAAAAAAAACTATGGAAACATGAAACACTAAAAGATCAAGCTACAGATATCTGAAATGACCGTCATACGTCTTAGCTTCACATAAATTGATATAAACTTGAAACAGTAAGTCTACTTACCGATTTTTACAGAACTGATACAAGGTAACAATGCCTGAATCAATTTTTACAGGTGTCAATTAATTTTCATCAATATTTTCATTTTTACCTTGTCAATGCGCATGTTCCTTTGATGGCAGGAAATGAATAAGAGTGACTTTTCGTTGAAATTTGTCTTGAACTTCCAGACTGAATTTTTGATAGGCTTTTCGTAGGTTTAACCGTGATATGATTGAAGTGTGCTACTCGAACGCGCCTTGAGTATACTCGCCTTTTTCCTCGCCTTTTTCGCCCTTTTCTTCGCCTTTTTCCACGCCCTTTTCGTCGCCCTTTTCTTGCCTTTTTCTTCGCCTTTTTTCATTCATCTTTATCAGTGCACATTTTTTTTTCAAATTGTTAATTTAAATGAATTAATGAAAAATTCAAATAAAAAAAACATACGAAATTCATTTTGAAAGAATGTTAATCGAAAGTAACACATATTCCTTCAAAATAATGAGTTTTGCTGCTGTACCATGCATGCGGTATTTTGCATTTTGTATTTAAAATCGGTAAAAATTAATTAAACAAGTTCACGAACTCTATTTTACTATATCATGACTTTAAGCATAGTAAATTAATGAAGTCAAATATTTTAGGTTTTGTTTTTCGTCTTAGATTTACTTGAAATGAATTGATTTAAGGATTTGTGAAAATATTACGCAAAGCGCAAAATATTCCAATCTTCGTTCTATATGATTATAAACTTTATAAAAGGAGAGCAGGGGCTTTTACAGCGTCGTTAACGAGAACAAACGACGCGACGTTATTTCTTTATTCTTCAAGGCATTATAACGTCATAATCAGTAGCTTAACTGTTTTCACCAGATAAGCTGCGTTTTTCAAGTTATCTTGAAGATTTTCGGAAGATTTTGGAATATTTTCGTAAGAAGATGAAGAATTTGACGGTTCCTGTTGTTTTTGAGGTGGAGTTGGATCCTGGTGAGTTTTCTTTTGATATTTATGATTACCCCTCTTCTTCTGTTATATCAGATTACCAAATTAATCCGGGAAAGGCTATGCTAAGAGGTTTTGCAAGGCTGGGCCAAATAAATAACGTGAAGGTTGAATCGTAAAATATACCCAAATGAATAATTGGTTGAACAAAATGCTTTAATCGGTGTTTTATTTTTTCAGACAACAGCCATAAACCTAGAAAAACTTTACCAAGGACAAAATTTACTCTAGAACTCCAGGCTTTGACCGAAGTCGAACACGGTTACGCAGATGGGGGACAAGAAGCTAATAATAACTGTCAAGAATCGCCACGTCTTGTGGTTGAATCGGATCTTGGTATCTCCCCAAAAGATGATAGTCAAAAACGTACAAAAGAGGACGTTGCGAAATCAGCCATAAGTGAGGTGCAAAAATTACTCCCCAAATCTCGAGTTTCAAGCCCAACAGATCTTGCCAATGCTAGCTTTTGTCAGCTACCACTTTTTGTCGCAGACGACTGTCGTGACTTGCCTCATCAAGGTAAAAGTGAAGATGACAATTTTTTTGAAAGCGTCTGGGTATCAAAAACGAACATAGACGCTGTATTGGTTCAATTGTTTTGTATGACTGAAGAACAACTTGCAATGAGGATCAATGGTGGTGCAAAGAAACCAACTGCTAAAGAAACTGCTTTGTCGATAGGAGATTCCAGTTCACAGGACCTGAAGCGAAGAGTTTCAACTGCTGTGTCATCTGGAGTTCCTCGTCCAAATGTCAGTGATAGATTAAAGCTCCGGCCATCTTTCACTGCTAACGAATTTTTAGAAGAAACTAAAAATTCAGAATATAAATTGCCTGAATATGAAAGAACTTGGTCATCTGGAAACGCCATAGACGCTGTATTGGTGAAATTGTCCTGTATGACTGAAGAACAACTTGCAATGAGGATGAATGGTGGTACAAAGAAACCAACTGCTAAAGAAACTGCTTTGTCGATAGGAGATTCCAGTTCACAGGACCTGAAGCGAAGAGTTTCAACTGCTGTGTCATCTGGAGTTCCTCGTCCAGATGTCAGTGATAGTTTAAAGCCCCTTTTCTATTTTATATTTTATATTGAAGTATTCTTATTTATATTTTGTATATTTTGGTAATATAATATAATTTGTTTTGTAAATTCTGTGTTTTTCATATATCCCTGTAAAGGTACTGCAGGGAGAACTGTGCTTCGGATTAACCCTCAAGCCCCAGTGATAACCTGTACCGTATAGCACTGACAAATTGAATCACAATATTTGCATTATTTTGTGAAATAAACAATTGTTCTTCAGCACGGCAAAGGTTAATTGGAGCAAATAGTGGGAATTATAAAGAGGTTTTCTTAATTTTTTGTGTGTATCGGGACACTGATAGCAGGAAGCACGGATGTCTGATTGAAAATTGGAATCGTGCAAATTGATGCTATCAATCTCTTTAAGTAGAGTCAGATTGAATCTTAGTTAAGAGGAGTACAACTCACGAACAATAGCAACTGTCCCTGATCAACCCCGTCCTTTGTATCCTAACAACCTGAGGGTAGTGAGCTGATCTCAGCTCTGTATTGTACGGTTCGGATATCGACGAGTAGAGAAGAAGTAGAGTATTTAAGATGGAACGTCTGCCAAGTTCTCATGTGTACATTTCGAAAAGATGTGTGACAATAAACAGGAAATCAACGAGATGAATGGTAGGAGGTATAAGATCTGGTAATAATATTAGTTTACGTATCTGCATTTTACATGGGGCTATCCGAGAAAGCGAGGAAAAGGGCGAAAAAGCGAGGAAAAGTCAAGAAACTAGGAATTTTTTCTCGCCTTTTTTCCTCGCTGTCTCGCCCTTTTCCTCGCTTTCTCGACTTTTCGCCTTTTTTTTTACCCTCGCTTTCTCACCCTTTTCCTCGCCTTTTTCCTCGCCTTTTTTCTCGCCTTTTTTTTACCCTCGCTTTCTCACCCTTTTACTCGCCTTTTTCCTCTCCTCTTCTCTCGGCTTTTTTCTCGCCTTTTTCCTCGCCCTTTTCCTCCCGAGGAAAGGGAAGGCAAGGGACGAGGACGTATCTAGTTTTTCTGGGAAATTGACTCAGGTTATTACCGATGTTGCTATGGGATCTATTCCCCGGACTATGGATGGCATTGTACGTAGGTCACCCAAGTCCCGGTGGTCCGATGAACTCCAGGCTGCCGTGGATGCTCGCAATCGTTCTCTATGGCGGTTCCAGAGGAAATCGAACCGTTACACCAAGGCAGACTACTTGGCGGTCAAGGCTTTTACAGCTGCTCTGTTGCGTGAATCACAAACAAAGCATTGGCAGGAGTTCTGCAACTCATAAAATGAGAAGACCAACCTAAGATCTGTCTGGGGTAAAATAGACTCAATGCTTGGTAAAAAATCTAATTCTTCCATTCCAACTCTTTGTTCCACAGAATACAGCAATGAAGGAAAAGCCAATTTGTTAGCCAAGTGTTATGCTGACGGGAGTGCTGATACCAACCACACCAAAGAATTTCTAAAGAACAAGAAGACCGTCTACACCAACCACACTCCGATTCATCACTGGCTCTTAGAAGACGAACGGGATCTTAACGCTCCCTTCACCCTCGATGAGCTGAAGAATGCACTGTTCAGTAAGAAAGACGGCGCTACTGGTGAAGATATCAAGTACAGCATGTTAAAGGAGTTACCAATGGAAGCGTCTACAGTTCTACTGGAATTATTCAACAAATCATGGTATAATGGTACAATTCCCGAAAGAACAAAACCGCAGAAAGATAAAAGTCTATGCAGTTCATACAGGCCTATTTCTCTTTCCTCGACTCTATGTAAAACATTTGAGACGATGGTCAATAATAGACTAAGATACCACTGTGAACTAAATGGTCTTATCGATCCCAACCAAAGCGGCTACAGAGAGAAATGGTCAACAATGGATCAAATCGTTCGACTTCAACACGACATGGCCGCCCAATTTGAAAGAAAAACTACTTCAGCGCACTATTCCTGGATCTATCCAAGGCCTTTGGTTTAGTCTGGGTTGATGGTTTGCTTTTTAAACTTAATAAACTTGGCATTCGGTGTCGCATGGACAGGTCACACTGACCCCAATAAAGTGAAATGGCGTATGCAAACTGCTCTGAACCAAGGTGCCAAATGGGCAAACGACTGGGGCTTCATTATTTCGGAAGCTAAAACCGCCGGTTTGTTCTGTAGCAGATAGAAGGATCACGACAGTATTGACAAACTGAATGGTGTGAATATTAAGCATGAGAATTCAGTAAGGTTCCTCGGAGTACACTTTGACAAGTGTTTAACTTGGAGTACGCACATTGACTATATCTGTAACCGGTCTACTAAAATCTTAAATGTTATGCGTTATGTTTCAGGTACTACATGGGGAGCAAACAGAGAAACTCTAATGGTGTTGTACAGGTCACTGGTTCGTTCAGTTATTGATTATGGTTGAATTGCCTATGGTAAAGCAAGTGATACTCAACTGAAGAAACTCGACGTTCTACACATGAAACTATACGTATTGCCACCAGGGCAGCCGTAGGTACGAAGAATGAGGCGCTACTTCAGGAGGTGGGAGAGAAACCCCATTCTCTTCGGAGGGAGGAACTATCTCTCAAATTCCGGGGGAAACTTCAGTATTTGTCTGACAGCTGTCCAACGTATCCCAGCATCAGAAGATTTACTTGTGTCGGAAATAATCAGAAGAATCGGAGTATTTCTTACGGGCAAACGTTCATTGATCTATTGAGAGAGCATCAGCTCGATCAAGTAACGATCCTTGAACGTCGCCTATCGGCTACTCCGTTTTGGAAGGTTACCAACCCGACAGTCAACACCCAGCTGATCCAGAGTACCAACAAGCACGATAACCCAGTGGGAGCACGAGCTCATGCTCTTGATCTTATTGATTCCGTGTACGCCGATGGTTCCAAGAGTAGTACCGCAACAGGTTACGGTTTGCGAATCCCAGCAATAGGCATCCGCATTAGTAAAAGGATCCCACCGCACTGTTCAGTGTTCACTGCAGAACTTTTTGCCATTAGGGACACGGTAACATGGCTATCCATCAATCACACGGAGCATGCCGCGATTCTATCCGACTCGCTAAGCAGCCTCCAATCTATCTTTCTCACCTCTTCTAATTGCAGGTCAGAAGTTATCGCCGATATAAGAAGAATGATCCACAACTACCAAACCAACAACAACCATAAGATTGAATTAGTATAGGTTCCATCGCACGTCTCCATTCCTGGCAATGATCAAGCAGACCGTTGTGCCAAGGAAAGTCTGAGTCTGGAGTATATGGAGCCTGTAGAATACTCCAATTCGGAATTCTGCAGTATCGTATCTTCTAGGATCAACCAGAAATGGATACCAGATTGATCCGAAGATACCAAACCAAACCATCCATCTGCAAAGTGGCAACCAGACTCCGGACCAACAATGTACTACGAGACCACTGACAGAGTACCACTCACCATACAGAATGTTTTAGGCTCCATCCACGGACCACTGGTATACGATAATGGAACTCGTCTTCCATTTTATAAGCAAATCTGCCTTGATCAGATAGGTTAAGATTTTATACTCAATGTTTCTTAACACTTTTAATTATATCCAATCAATTTAACAAGTTTCATTGCAGAAACATCAGAGAACATCTTTCCCCCTTTTGTTGAAAGCTTTTCCCCCCTTTTATTCCCCCCCCCCCCCTCTTTTCTCACTCTTTTTTTTCAGGTCTTCTAGTTTTCCAACAGATAATCTAACCAAACCAACGACTACCATTCGACTACCAATCAACAAGAAATACAATGATCAGAACGAGTTTGGACGAATGAAGGAGATCACGCCACACCATCAAGGGCCGAGTTTCGACGCCATGTCATTCGACCTGACCAGATCTAACGAAGAATCAACAACCAAACCAACAAAACAGAATCATCTAATTTGAACCAATCCAACTACCAACAACTACCTAGTTTGCGATATCAGCATCCGCTGGAAGCGAACGTTAACTTTTCATCTACCTACCTACCTAGGTTTTCTAAATTTTTGTATGTATATCGCAGACACTGATAGCATCATTCGCTCCATTCCAATTTTCAAACAGACGTTCGTGCTTCCTGCTATCAGTGTCCCGATACACGTAAAAAGTTAAGAAAACCTCTTTAATAATTCCCACTTTTTTCCGTGCTGAAGAACAATTGTTTATTTCACAAAATAATGCAAATATTGTGATTCATTTTGTCAGTGCTATACGGTACAGGTTATCACTGGGGCTTGAGGGTTAATCCGAAGCGCTGTTCTCTCTGCAGTACCTTTAAAGGGATATGTAACACAAAATTTACAAAACTAAGAAATATATTACCAAAATATACAAAATATAAATAAGAATACTTCAATATAAAATATAAAATAGAAAAGGGGCTTTAAACTATCACTGACATCTGGACGAGGAACTCCAGATGACACAGCAGTTGAAACTCTTCGCTTCAGGTCCTGTGGACTTGAATCTCCTATCGACAAAGCAGTTTCTTTAGCAGTTGGTTTCTTTGTACGACCATTCATCCTCATTGCAAGCTTTTCTTCAGTCATACAGGACAATTCCACTAACATAGCGTCTATGGCGTTTCCAGATGACCAAGTTCTTTCATATTCAGGCAATTTATATTCTGAATTTTTAGTTTCTTCTAGAAATTCGTTAGCAGCGAAAGATGGCCGGAGCTTTAAAGTATCACTGACATCTGGACGAGGAACTCCAGATGACACAGCAGTTGAAACTGTTCGCTTCAGGTCCTGTGAACTGGAATCTCCTATCGACAAAGCAGTTTCTTTAGCAGTTGGTTTCTTTGTACCACCATTCATCCTCATTGCAAGTTGTTCTTCAGTCATACGAGACAATTCAACCAATACAGAGTCTATGTTCTTTTTTGATACCCAGACGCTTTCAAAAAAAATATCACCTTCACTTTTACCTTGATGAGGCAAGTCACGACAGTAGTCTGCGACAAAAAATGATTTCGCAACGTCCTCTGTTGTACGTTTTTGACTGTCATCTTTTAAGGAGATACCAAGATCCGATTCAACCGCAAGACGTGACGATTCTTGACAGTTATTATTAGCTTCTTGTCCATCTGCGTAACCGTGTTCGACTTCGGTCAAAGCCTGGAGATCTAGAGTAAATTTTGTCCTTGGTAACGTTTTTCTAGGTTTATTGCTGTTGTCTGAAAAAATAAAACACCGATTAAAGCATTTTGTTCAACCAATTATTCATTTGGGTATATTTTACGATTCAACCTTCACATTATTTATTTGGCCCAGCCATGCAAAACCTCTTAACATAGACTTTCCCGGATTAATTTGGTAATCTGATATAACAGAAGAAGAGGGGTAATCATAAATATCAAAAGAAAACTCACCAGGATCCAACTCCACCTCAAAAACAGCAGGAACCGTCAAATTCTTCATCTTCTTACTAAAATATTCCAAAATATTCCGAAAATCTTCAAGATAACTTGAAAAACGCAGCTTATCTGGTGAAAACAGTTAAGCTACTGATTATGACGTTATAATGCCTTGAAGAATAAAGAAATAACGTCGCGTCGTTTGTTCTCGTTAACGACGCTGTAAAAGCCCCGCCCCTTTTAAAAGATTATAATCATATAGAACGAAGATTGGAATATTTTGCGCTTTGCGTAATATTTTCACAAATCCTTAAATCAATTCATTTCAAGTAAATCTACGACGAAAACAAAACCTAAAACATTTGACTTAATTAATTTACTATGCTTAAAGTCCGAAAGAATTCACGCCGGAATTTAAGGATGAAAATAAATTTTTTAATTTCTGTTACAGGTTGGTTGCAGTAGCAATCAGTTCCAGAACTAAGGCGGGTGAAATCAACCCTAAAGACATCATGGATGCAGTTTCTAAAGTGTGTGCCGACCACGTCACAAACCAACAACCACCAACCAAGGCTACCAAACCAAAGATCCAGTACGGATGTTCCGAAAACCGACGTAGTGGGTCAATCAATGGAAACGCCACGAAAAGTAAAGGCGGTATCCACGAGTGGCCATTCTCGTCAGTCGAGGAGCATCTGTAGGAGTACAGGCTCCAGACCCATTAATGAGCGTTCTAGAAGCACCTCGCTAGCTAGACCACTGCCCACTGGCTCAGTAACGGAGATGGACGTAGAGGTTTTTAATGCACCCCAAACTCCATGCTAAACCCATACTCTTTCATTAAGTCTGAATGTACCTCAACGAAAGACCCAAATGGTACAGCTACTACAAAGGAAGCAGTATGATGCCGTTTTTCTCCAAGAGTCCAAGCTCTGTTCACGGAATAAAGACCCTATCATCAATGGTTATACAATGATCAGATTAAATAAACCTAATGCTCCCAACCATCAAATTGGTGGGGTCTGGCCATCTACATCAAAAATGGTATATCCCATAGTAAGGTTCCTCTGTAAACCAATTAACTAAGATTCAATCGGACTCTACTTAAAGAGATTATAAAGAGGTTTTCTAAATGTTTGTATGAGTATCGCGGACACTGACAGCATCAATTCGCACGATTCCAATTTTCAATCAGACGTCCGTGCTTCCTGCTATCAGTGTCCCGATACATATAATTCCCACTATTTGCCTCTATTAACCTTTGCCGTGCTGAAGAACAATTGTTTATTTCACAAAAAAATGCAAATATTGTGATTCATTTTGTCAGTACAATACGGTACAGGTTATCACGGGGGATTGAGGGTTAATCCTAAGCGCAGTTCTCTCTGCAGTACCTTTAAAGGGATATGTAACACAAAATTTACAAAACTAAGAAATACATTACCAAAATATACAAAATATAAATAAGAATACTTCAATATAAAATATAAAAAAGAAAAGGGGCTTTAAACTATCACTGACATCTGGACGAGGAACTCCAGATGACACAGCAGTTGAAACTCTTCGCTTCAGGTCCTGTGAACTGGAATCTACTATCGACAAAGCAGTTTCTTTAGCAGTTGGTTTCTTTGTACCACCATTGATCCTCATTGCAAGCTTTTCTTCAGTCATACAGGACATTTCCATCAATACAGGGTCTATAGCGTTTCCAGATGACCAGGTTCTTTCATATTCAGGCAATTTATATTCTGAATTTTTAGTTTCTTCTAGAAATTCGTTAGCAGCGAAAGATGGCCGGAGCTTTAATCTATCACTGACATCTGGACGAGGAAATCCAGATGACACAGCAGTTGAAACTGTTCGCTTCAGGTCCTGTGGACTGGAATCTCCTATCGACAAAGCAGTTTCTTTAGCAGTTGTTTTTTTTGTACCACCATTGATCCTCATTGCAAGTTGTTCTTCATTCATACGAGACAATTCCACCAATACAGCGTCTATGTTCGTTTTTGATACCCAGACGCTTTCAAAAAAATTGTCACCTTCACTTTTACCTTGATGAGGCAAGTCACGACAGTCGTCTGCGACAAAAAATGGTAGCTGACTTGTGGCTGATTTCGCAACGTCCTCTGTTGTACGTTTTTGACTGTCATCTTTTAAGGAGATACCAAGATCCGATTCAACCGCAAGACGTGGCGACGTGGTAAATTTTGTCCTTGGTAAAGTTTTTCTAGGTTTATTGCTGTTGTCTGAAAAAATAAAACACCGATTAAAGCATTTTGTTCAACCAATTCTTCATTTTGGGTATATTTTACGATTGAACCTTCACGTTATTTATTTGGCCCAGGCATGCAAAACCTCTTAGCATAGCCTTTCCAGGATTAATTTGGTACTTTGGTATAACAGAAGAAGATGGGTAATCATAAATATCAAAAGAAAACTCACCAGGATCCAACTCCACCTCAAAAACAGCAGGAACTGTTAAATTCTTCATCTTCTTACGAAAATATTCCAAAATATTCCGAAAATCTTCAAGATAACTTGAAAAACGCAGCTTATCTGGTGAAAACAGTTAAGCTACTGATTATGACGTTATAATGCTTTGAAGAATAAAGAAATAGCGTCGCGTCGTTTGTTCTCGTTAACGACGCTTTAAAAGCCCCTGCTCATCTTATTTTATCCTTTTAAAAGATTATAATCAGATAGAACGAAGATGGGAATATTTTGCGTAATATTTTCACAAATCCTTAAATCAATTTATTTCAAGTAAAACATAACTTAAAACATCTGACTTAATAAGTACGAGTATACAGGAAAAACAATGATAGTTGATAATGTAAATTCAAAAATTTCACCGCGAAGAAAAGTCTGGTTTTGATCAAATTGATTAGAAATACATATAGTTAGTAAAGTGAAAGTGCAGCCATGTTTTTTTTTTAGCCCATTTTGGAAACCTATTTTGGAAAGGAGAAGAAAGCTAAGCTAATCAGTAAAAGTGTTCACAGCTCACAGTTTTGCTCCTAATCACCTTTTACTTGGTCAAGACCACAGAATTAGATATATAAACTAAAAATAATTCTAGTAAAGATCTAAAATATGAATATGTGTATGAATTAGAATTTCAATTTGCTATAATTATAAATAGGCCTTATCACATCTACAATCACCCAATAAACACCTCTCAATCTTGCAATGAAATCGTTCCTATGCATATTTGCAGTAAACTTGATACAGTGCATATTTAGAAGAGTACATTTATAATTGAATGGGTGTTTTGTTCTTGTTCAAATATTTTCGATGTAGCTGTATATAACTATGATTTATCAATATGTTATAATGAAGTAGATAGCAATTTTACATTTGTTTCACATGTCATTTGAGTGAAAATATTTGATTTTGTTGATTGGCAACTTCATGGTGTTTGAAATTGCCCATAGAAAAAATGGTTTTCATCCTGAATTATACCCCTACTCTTATATTAACAATTTAGAAATATTTTGAAACGTTTTTGCCCCAAAACATGTGTACGAATGCATCAAACAAATTCAATTTGCTATAAAGTTTCTTGGAGGAACCCTCTCAGACGCAGTATGTGAGGCTTGCGACCTTGATGACTCCACAGAGTTGATGCATTTTGAATAGATTTGGACATTCAAGTCAAGTCAAGACACCTGTGGTTTTCAGCAATTCTACTCTAACTAAGCGCTTGATGACGTCAATATCACAAAATCTGCTTTTTAAAAAGTTGACAGACTCTAAAACAAAATGGTGTCGAAGAGGCATTTCTGTGACCAGTTCACCCAAATAACAGCTATGAGGACATATTCCAATGCTATATCCATAGTAACATTAACCCGTGAGGACAGTTTCAATATAGTCAATGAACTCTTGTGGTGTGTTCTAGATAGAAGGATCATGCTTCCTCCAGAAGAACAGATGTTGCTCTGTCACTGACCATGTCAGCAAATCTGAAAATGATGCGATGTATGATGCTAAACTCTGCTTTTGGTAGTTGATAGAGCAATTCTAGAATAAGTTTACAACATTAGAGGTTGACAGACAAAAAATAAATCTATAATTTATAATTATCATTTAAAACGTAGATATAAATTTATTTTCTCCAGGTAATATCCAAATGATGCAAATTTTAAAGCGCAGTTTCATGTTCTATTGTTTCATTTTGCTCTAAAGGGGTATCCAGTGGGAGTATATTTACACGTAAAGGAAGTTCTATACCCGAACTATTTTCCGGGATGGTGGCACATGGACTTGACTGGGGTGTTGTTAGTCAGCTATGTGTACTTCTCGAGCTTCCTGATATAGTAGATTCCATTGTTTCCCTTGGCAACGTAATATGAATCGTGCTGTTGATATGAAGTGTTCGTGGCCTTCGGCAGCATTTACTCAAAAATATCTTTTTCAAATCTTTTCGGAATTTGCTTCCTACAAAACAATAAATTAGAATGTTCAAGCAACTGTTAAATACGACCAGAATATTGGCCAACGCTGTTCCAACGATGTACGGCTTGGTTAAATTTGGATAAGTTATCTCCCTTGTTTCATGGAGACATTCTTCACTTGATTTAGTCATTAGCCGATAGAAAGCGACGGCACAAATTGGAAAATTACAAACCATGTACACCATTACTACCATTATGACTAGAACGGACAAATTCCGGTTCGGATTCACTATGTTAGGAACACTGACTCTAAATCTGGAAGATTTCTGAACTTCTCTGGATAATAGAATATTCACAATAGTCAAGATTATCCAGGGTATTATGTACCAGCCAATAGGAATTATATAATAATTGAAAAAGCATGGATAATTTCTGGTTCTTCCAAAATCTGTTAAACTTGCGATTGTTACAGTCAAATTCTGAAAAATTTCCGATTTAATTTGATAACTTAAAAACATTGGTAAAGTTGTAATAAATGCAACAAAGATATTGACAGCAACAAAAATGAAAATAAGGCTAACACTGCACAATTTCTTCATTTTGAGTGGATATTTGATGGCCAAATAGCGCTCAGCAGAAAGCACAAGAGTTGAAAAACTGCTGAACCCCAAGGAAATCCAAAATAACGGATCCACATACGTTTCAATGTAGGCGTCGAAATAAAAAACCGAATTCATGTCCTGTTCATCGGTCATAAAAAGTTTGAATGTTTTGTAACGGAACAGTGATGTAATCAAAACCAAAATATCGGCGATGGCCATCACACGAAGCGTCACCCCTGTCGTAGATGATCGTAAAGATTTCTTCGTCAACACAAACAAGACTAATAAATTACCCATAACTCCTAGTAGACTAATGACTAACAGAATATATCCATGAATTATTTTATTCACACGAATTTGAAATTTTGCCATTTCAATAGTTTTGGGGGAAAAATATGGCTCAGATTGATTTAAATTATTCAGCATTTCGGTAAAATTCTTAAAACTGTTTCTGCCACCTTCCTCCATTTCCAAGAAAATTTCTTCTCCAACTTCGCCTGTAAGTTGGTTCTCTAGCATCATAATTGTTTTTCTAAATTAATATCAGACACAGTTCGATACAGAGCCGCTGGAGTATGTATAGAGCTCCAATATTTCTTCAGTTCACTTGATATTGGTGATCAGTGTAGTATGATTTTAGTTGACTTTGATGGTTGTCTTTGATCTTTTTCACAGTTTTCCAAAACTGTGCAACACGTTAAACAATATATTACTGATATTTGCAAGTAACAGTATTCAGTATCCAAAGTTGTAGAGAGAACAGTACTGGTCTAATACCTTCACTTTCACAAAATATAAAGCTACTGTATTAAAACTTTAAAATCTTTAAAAAATACCATTGCTGAATAGTACAGGCATTCCCATTTTCTACTTTTCTTTAAAAATTCTTTCAATTGGTGTTTGTAGATCACAAATTCACATCAATATAGTGTTCCACGGGCACCTCAATTATAGTTTATCTTGTGTGAATTAATTTCAAATTTGCATATCAAATTGCTCACATTTCATTTCAATGTCCAATTCTCCCAATATATGTATAAAAGTCTTATAATATATAGAATACTTCTACTTATGATTACAGTAACTTGGAATATAAAAAGTGAGTTTGTATGAAAATGATTTTATATAGCAAATTATAGATGACGTAAGAAGAAATACGACAAGGTAATAAAATGATATTGTAATTACAAAAACATGGCAGTTTCTGACAAAATTGATAAAAGGTTCTATATCAAATAACAGCCGTATTGTATATTCTGGCAGTAAATGCTGTTTTAAAGATGGGTTTCCTTGTTTTTTCATGTCAAATTAACCAAAATATTTGATTGATTGGTGTTTCTAATGAATTATCATATATTCTTAATCATATCATTATGTTCTTATTGCATATAATTAAGAGTTTTAACCAATAATAAATGTCCGTGTATGAACAGTCTGGATAAAAAAAAAAACTTTTTGACCTTTCTTGATAGGTCACTCATTGGAATTCTGCTTGTAATTCTCTTCTCATTTAGCTAATTAGCTTATGGACATGTGAGACAAACTGTTATTTTTTCAAATCATTAAAACACGTCTACTTTCATACTCATATAAGTATTAGCATTTTCATTTCATAAATGAAAATAAGGGAACCCATCTTTAACAATTACCAAATCTTATCTAAGAATTGCGTTATTCAATAAAGTAAAGAGGTAAGAAGAGAAATTACCGACAAAATTAATTCCGAGACATTTTACATTATTGAACTTCTAGTAACTTTTGGCTGAAATTGCCTTGATCAACATGAGATAAGGTGAAGAGCCTGGCAATCAAAAAAGGGAAATATTACCAATATAGAATGTATTTGAAATCAAGATAAATATTGTCTAATCATTGGGTATAATTAATAAAAGATCATACTTTAATTTGTTACAATCTCCATATGGCTTGTTATTTTATAAACTGAGGATAGAGGGTGGCTGTAAAAATGTTATAGTATTGAGAGGGGAAATGAAGGTGACATAATAAAAGCACATGGTGAATTAAATGAAATGAACAATGAGTTTTTAACAGGTTATGTTTTACACTAGACAATACTTTACAATAATTTTAATACTGATGTATTTATTCTATTCATTGGCCTCTACAAAGATTAGGATAGTGTTCTGTTGGGGGCTGAGTTTTCCCCACGGATTCAAACATTCAAATCAAATGCAATTATGACCTCTATCTTTATTCAGGCTCCCCATTTAACTCTCAATTGAGATAAACACACCACAATTTTACTATATTTATGATATCTGATATTACAACATGACTAGGCCCCGAAGTCGTCACAATTAGTCGAAATCGTCAATCGTATTTCATTCACCAGTCGTCGTCGAGTTTTTTTCAACCAGTTGAAAACCCTTATGCAAATAATTGTATAATAAAACATGGTGCTCACTACTTTAAACTCTTTTTTAAGAATAACTTTATAAAAAGTTAAGTTTAAGGGTCCTAAAGAGAAGGTGTCCTTTACTGATTTTGAATCAACAATCAAGCTTTTATCAGGCATGGAATATGTAGTATTAGACTATTAGTGCCATTTTTCATCATAATTTAAATGTATATCTTTGAAAGTTCCTTAATTGAACAGTTAGCTGAATACAATACAAGTATGTTCTTCATAATATATGTAATATACAGAATATATAGTTAATAACTGAATAGCACATTGATTGATTTGCATAGCAGTTGAAAGGATCAGTTACTAGTCCATATTGAAATTTTTCAACTAGTTGCATGGATCATGCACCATTAACCAAGAATAAATTTCAGGATGCTCATGGAATCCAAGACTTTTATGAAGATTACGAGATACTGTATTGTTAGAATAAATACAAACGTAAACTTTGCGGCCATTTTCTAGTAATTTCTTGGCAAGGCTTGATACTATGACCTTACTATAACCTTGACCCCTGAATTCTTCAAATAAGTGCAAGAAACCAATTTCTTCATTATTATATTCTAACATGTATCCCACGAGTTGTTGCCCTTGATTATACAAAGCAACTGATGTAAAGCTTTTTATTAGCGCTGTAGTGTATTCCAAGAGTCCGTCGTCCACATAATTCCAATTTGTCACCACCATGTCGACGTCAGCCTTGGTCAATGGTTTCAGGGAAAATCCTTCAGGTACCGATCTGAAATATATACAGTCTGTTGTAAGGTATTTCTGAATATTCTAATTCATTCCCCTACGAATACAAACGATTCATCTACAATCGAATAGGAAGTTTGAAACTTTACCGACTCAAAAAACTACGGAGCCCCTAAGGCGCAATTGTAAACATATTTATTTATTATGAAATAACATCATTTATTTCGTTTAAACGAAATAATAAATAAATATGTTTACAATTGCGCCTTAGGGTCTCCGTAAAAAACTTCCTAAAAATCATAGTTTAAGAATTTGCTGGGCTGAAAATAAACGCGCTGGCCATTTGCATCGCTATGGCGGTTAGACCCGTGAGCCAGACAGTGTGACAATTTTCAGCTGACTGAGGGGTTGTATCAGTTGGCTACAGCTAAGCCAACACCTTTGGTGGCTGTGTCTGGTTTGACATATACCAGCGGGCTAGCAGCAGCTTTGAGAAAAAAATACCTTTCGCAATCAATGTCACTAATACTAGATGGTGAATGATTCTCTCCGACTAAGACTGACCGGTTCCATAGCCAAGAATCGTAGACTTCTAATGCAAATTGCAAAATTGGTTGCAAAGGAGAAAAAGACCAATGCTGAATTTTGAACAATTTAAACCAGATCAAGTAAAACACAACTATAAGACAAGTGAGAGCAATAGATTTTCAACTGCTCACAAGGTCTAATGGCGGTTTTTGTTTTGTCTTTGAGTTTCATCTTTTCGGTACCGTTGTTTGCAGCCAATAGGAGAGCTCCATTCATGCTGTGCATGGGCAATTGATTGTTTCCCAATCTCCGTGCTAGTTTTTTTTCTCTAGGGGGAAACCATTTTGATTGTCAAGAATGCTATTAAGTGACTTTTAAGGGTTAGACAGGGATTACCATATGTTGTAACGTCACGGTGCCAATTGCCACGGCCAAAGCTAAAATCGAATTTTGGGCATTTCAAAATGTCTACACTTCAAATATGAAATATCGATAAATACTACTTTTACGTTTTATCTTCCGGTTTCAGAAATGTAGACCTTCTTTCTTTCTTTTTAGTTCAAGGCCACGTAACAATATTTAAGATGGACGTGCAAAGCCATAGCTAACGGTGCTTGGATCTGTACCAATTTCCTTGATCAGAATGCCAGCAAAACTGTGTTTGACTTTTGCTGTAATAAGTTAACCACAGGAAGAAATTATACTTAGCTGGAAGCGGACGGTTAATTGTCATCAACAACGTAGATTAGATGATACGTTTGATCCCATTACAGTAACTGTTGTACTTACACCGATTTCAACGTTTCTAAAGTCAAATTTTTACGAGTTCATGGTCTACCGCGGTGAATTTTCCACCATTTTCTTCTGAGACCTCCTTCATGATTTTAAACAATCTCTCATTTATGACTGAAATTAAAAAAGTAATGAAGACAATTGGTCATTCGGCACACCACAAAACATAGAGGCAGAATGACAGGACATTGACAGAATGACAGATGATCGCCTGCCAACATCTCTTTGGAGAGTTCATCTAAGGAAAGCGAGCGTTTTAAGGCCACACTCAAAGCAACCATGAAAAGCCTTAAAATCAAACATGGAAAAAGGTAGCCAAAAACCGTGCTCTAAGGCGCTGGCCCGTGTACTGTGGAAGAGAGAGACTATATCAGATGCGAAGAAGAAGAGGTAATAGCCTACGCTAGAGATAACTCGACATCCACTGTAGCTTGTTCACCGGGATTTAAAGATGGGTTTCCTTATTTTTTAGTGTCAAATTAAGCAAACTATTGGATTAATTAATGTTTCAAATGAATTATCACGTATTCTTAAACATATTATGTTCTTATTGCATATAATCAAGAGTTTTAACCAACCAAAAATGTATGTACAGTCTGGATAGACAAAAAAAAAAGACTTTGACCATTCTTGATCGGTCACTCATTGAAATTTCTCTTCTAATTTAGCTAATTATGAATTAATTATGGACATGTGAGGTATTTTTCCTAAGTCATTAGAACACCTCTTCTTTCTATTTATATAAATATTAGCAATTTCATTTTCATGAATAAAAATAAGGGAACCCATCTTTAAATGTGATGTTTGTAGAAGGACGGTTTTGGCCAATATTGAATTCATCAGCCACCACTGCAACCACAAGATTTAAAAGAAACTGTGGCCATTCTTTACAATTATTATATGAATGCACGCACCTGCAAATCTACAGCAGGATTTCCAATTGATAACGCCCGGAGTTTGTAACATCTTTTTAAACTGTTCCTTACTCTTCGTCACGATGACATGGTGATTCTTCATGAATTCTAACTGAAAATGGAATTATGAAATAAAGTTTTCTTTTCTTTTCACTGTTCTGCTGATTAATAGAAGATGGGCTAGGAGAAGCAAATTTATCGGAATAATAGCGCATTTTCACCATGTCAAGCTATTACGAACTTCATCTCATACTTGACTGCAATAGCATAAGATTGCAGATGCAGAGTTTTTGGTTGAACTGTACGCAAGCGAATACAGCCAATCTGCGTCCTAGAGTTCTGATTAAATGTATTCTCAAGCATACAGTCTAATAAAACCGATGCATTTCGTGACACAAGTAAGGTGGCTATTACAGTCAAGGTATAAGACAAACTTCGTAATAGATAAACACTGTGCAGACGAGTAGAGCGTAGACTGACTTCTTCCGAGGAGTAACTTGCATTCTACTAACGCAACCGTTGTGTGGGTTGTGATTCAAATTTATGTCGGTCCTGGCAACTTATTTCATATTATTATTATTTCATTTATGACAAGTACAGCAGACTGTCTAACCATAGACAATTCAATTCAAAGAAATCTTACTCTATTATCAGTTGAGTCCGGTTTCCAAATGACAGTGGTAAACTTCGGCCAGGAATCAACTAAACAAATAAATCCATGCATATTCTTCCACTTTCTTTCCATAGCGCACCGTAATTCACCACTTAGCTGGCAAAGAAACGTTAAAAACCAAAAGCAGAAAAAATGGATGGTGGAAGAGAAGGCGATTCTTTGGAATATTCTGCAGGTGGAAGGGGGTATGTAATCCGATAAATTCCGATCCTATCCATTCTCTGACAGATGGAAATAGCCAAGATGAAAGTGTATTATATGTGTGATTTCAATGTGACGGTCAATTCATATTTTGACATCAGATGCCCGGTAGAGATTAGCGTCTTGCACATCATCGTATCACGAATACGGCTTTTGACATGGTCTTATTAACCCATATTAAACAAGGCCCGCGTACTACACTTCGTTTTGGGGGCGTGGAAATGAGATTGGTGGCGCTATGGTGGCATTTAAATCTGACCAATCAGATCGGTAGAACAGAAATGAGGTCATATAAACTAAAACCAACATCGCTTTGCCGCCGCCCGTTTAAAGAGATAAGAGCATATTCTTTCCATGTTTGTTTCCACAGAAAGGTTTGATTTTCTCTCGGCTTCAATTCTTTAACGAAAGTCAATTCTATACCGTACATATTCATCAAAATATGTAATGGCACACTCCTTAGTTTTATTTACGTTCCCAAACAAAGCGTCAGAACCATTGATTTGTTTTGATTAGCTGAAATTTGCTACCAATACAGTAGGGCCAATTTGATTGGACAATATTTATCTACGAATACGTAATCACTTGTGTTACCACGGCCCCGAGGAAGTATGACGAATGGGGTGTGGTTTGGACACGATGCCTGCCCATATACATACTATAGTCCTGTACTAGTAGTCACACCCGTCGCAAATACCACTTCCATCGGTAGACGTGTAATTAACGGAACAACTTGAACTACTGAGCACTCTTACCTTTTGACTATTAGGGAAAAAATCTTCAAGTTTCTTCAATAATTCATTATACCATTCAAACTTGACTATCACTGTTTCCATGATATTTTAATCACCTTGTCCAAAATGTTATATGCCTGATATTACGAAACACCTAGCATGTACTGCCCTATCGCCGTTACATTGACCTATTTTCATTTAAGTTCAAAGGACAAATTCAATGTTTTAGTACTCATGTACTTTTATTACTCTTCGTGTGGTGAATTGTTATATACAGTGGTGTAACCTATTTTCGTGCATATAAGGATTCAACACCGAATTTCGTCAAAGTTAAAAAAACGAATTTTTTTTTTTTTCCTCAGATATTCTACAAAATAATTCAATTTGGTTCGATTTTCTTTATGAATTCTTCACTTTGACCCATATTTTAACTACTCTTGGTATTCAATATCAATTCATTATAACTAGTGACAAACTGAGAAAATAAGATACGTAGCGTGATTTATTGCTAAAAGTCACTGAAACAACGTAAGAATATGGCCCACTTTGTGTTCCATAGAAATTTTCCTCTAGTTGATCACTTGACTTCATTCGTTGGACTACATTCTAGCAGACGTCACTTGGAATTCCGATTACCAATTGGGAAAGGAAATTCGGCCGATAAAAATTGGTGACGTTTGGTAATAACTGAAATACAAATTTTGTATTTGTCAAAGTATACATTACTACATTTAACCTTGCTTGAAACTACTGAATTTATTCTACTAGCTGGTATTGTACAGAAAACCCATGTTTATCAAAACAAGCAAATGCGGAAATGCACGAAAAATAGGTTAGCACGAAATTAGGTTACTTGACTGTATAGTTGTTGCTTTTCAAACTTTTGTTCCCGTTACCTCATGGAGATATCGACAATGCTCATTCTCTGACACCCAATTTATTAACCTCTACTCCATCCAATCGTTCCAGATCCTTCTACCGACTACCACAAAACTACATAATTTGCGATGTCAGCTTTAGCTGGAAGCGGAATTTTACTCTTCGTCTGCTAACAACTGCCTAGTTTGCGATATCAGCAGTTGTCATCCAAGTGGGCGAGCTTGACAACGGGGACTACGACCGACATCTGAACCCTTCAAAATTTTCTGGCAAACCATCCCACCTCTCACCCACAAGCAGTACGTCTATGTAGGTTATTGCATAATTAAAGATCTTTAGCGGAATTTCCTTATCCCGTCCTACAAGATTGGTGATCCTTTTCATTAAAGGGCTAGACCGGATTTTTCAATGAGTTTTTGTGGTCTTGATCGTGAAATATATAATTATTCATACCAACACGTAGATAAAGATTCCCCTTACCATTTACTGATTGACTTAGCTAAAAAAAATCCCGTTTCTGAGACTAAGATACGATTGTTAAAAAAATGGCGCATCTGTCCCTTTAAGGCCCAGTACGTGACTACAGTGACATAATTTCAGTAAATAATTTCATATAAAATATTCTCCACAACAGTTTTCATAATCAATGAGTGTGTTAGAATATATAATCATAGAACGATGTACTTCTGTGACATTGACACACTCCGTAGCTGATTTTTGATATGTTGAGCAGCAATGACGGGTGTATGCTTACTCTTCTAGGCACCTGATACCACTTTTCATTATGGAATTATTATAATCACAGACTGATCTACTTCTGCGACATTGACAGACTCCTGGGGCTGATGTTTGATATGCTGAGCAGCTATGACGGATGTGGCGCCAGGCAGAGTATGCTTACTCTTCTAGGCACCTGATACCACTTTTCATTATGAAATACTTACTCAATTATGGTTGATATACTTCCTCATGTGAAAAGTTCAGTAGCCGCTACCAATGTTTCGCCAAAATAATGTTTTAGATTTCGTTAGATTTTTGTTTTGCGGTTCAGATAGTTAGTATTTGGTTTATTTATGGTAAACTATTCACATAGACAGTTCTTTGATATGTTTTGTATTTTCGCTTTAGCAGCTTGTGGAACTAAAGAAAGTATAAGAGGAAACAGTTTGTAGCCTCTTAGCTAAGCTATATATATAATGGTCCTACAATGGATCATGCACCAAGCAAGAATAAATTCCTGGATGTTCTTGGAATCCAAGACCTTTATGAAGATTACGAGATACTGTATTGTTAGAATAAATATAAACGTGAACTTGACGGCCATTTTCTAGTAATTTCTTGGCAAGGCTTGATACTATGACCTTACTGTAACCTTGACCCCTGAATTCTTCAAATACGTGCAAAAAACCAATTGTTCCGTAATGGCTTTCTAACATGTATCCCACGAGTTGTTGTCCTTGATTATACAAAGCAACTGATGAAAAGCTGTCTATTAATGCTGTTATGTATTCCAAGACTCCGTCGTCCGCAAAATTCCAATTTGTCACCACCATGTCGACGTCAGCCTTGGTCAATGGTTTCAGGGAAAATCCTTCAGGTACGAACCTGAAACAGATACATTCTAGTGTTATATTATATTTCCTGTACCGACCTGAAACAGATACATTCTAGTGTTATATTATGTTTCCATATGAGTAAAAATAACTGGTCATGCTACCGAATCGCGAAATTTATCAGGCTATTGTAGGGCATCACAAAAGTGAAACTATTGGTATCAATAAATACTTCTCACTTCATTTGTAGTTTCCAGAAAAATAGTTCATTCAAGTCTTTTGCATCGCACTAGTAGCCTATTTAAGATGGATGCACAAAGCCAAAGAGAACTTGTTTTTGATAGTCGCTTTAATAATTGAATTGCAAGGGCAACGTAATTTGGAGAATGAGGCTACATTATTCAAAGGAATTATTTTACTAACAGCGTTTTCAACGTCTCTGAAGTCACAGACCAAATATTTCCTTCATCCGACATGGTTAATTTTCCGCCATTTTTCTCCGATACTTCTGTCTTTACATCATGCAATCTTTTATTGATGGCTGGAAATGAAAAATTAAGTTGCTTATAAACGCCTAATCAACCTTAATACTTAGAATAGGCAGTAACTAGTGCTTGTTTTGGAGAAAAATGGCGACTAATAGGATCGAAGGAGAAGAAGGCAATACGTAACGCTAGACTGAACTCATTCTCTGATGTTTTTTTTCACCGGGATTGAAGTGTGACGCACCTGCAAATCTACAACAGGATTTCCAATTGATAACGCCCTGGGTTTGTAACATCTTTTTTAATTGTTCCTTATTCTTCGTCACTATCGCATGGTGAGTCCCTAAAAATTCTAACTGAAAATATGTAAACAAGAAATAATGTTTTACGTTCTTTTTTTACTGTTCTAAGACCGTTACACATACAGTTATCTAAATAATTATCAAAAAAAGGGAAAAAAAGACGACAGCATATTTAGCTGTAGGCCCAATTACTTGGGTGAAGCCTGCTGTTATTCATATTCAGTTATGACAAGTACAAAAGATTTAAATAAATTCAATATCTCACTCTATTATCAGTCGTGTCTGGTTTCCAAATCACAGTGGTAAACTCAGGCCAGGAATCAACTATACAAATATATCCATGCACATTCTTCCACTTTCCCTCGATAGCGCACCGTATTTCACCGCTTAGCTGCCAAAAAACGTTAACAATACAAATAAATAAAAGAAAATTTGTGATGGAAGGATTTTGGCGGTGGTGGACAAGAGTCATGGAAGGGTACAGCTTTATGTATAACTGATGGGATTAGTCGTCGCAGGTTGGGGATAGGCATTACTATTGGAGCTGGGAGCTGACACCGGGTCGACTCTTGGAAGAACTCGCACAGGCATCAGAATTGTTCGTACCTTGAGGAGGATTTGAACCCACGACACCTTAGAATCGCTTAGTAGTCGACAATCCAACTCTCTACCGACTGACTTATTTATAATTTCTCGGAATAGCGGTAATGGCGTATGCATTGTATATTCTATTGTTTGTCTTAGGTCATTTGTTTATTTTGACATTTTACATCAGGGATGATCCGGTCCAGCCTCATTTGTCCCGCCCGCCAGAGTAACCTAACCATGATAGAATTACCACCAATAAACGAGGGATAAATAATGGGACATAACTCATGTTTGAACATTCCTACCTTTTGACTATCGGGGAAAAAATCTTCAAGTTTCTTCAATAATTCACTATACCATTCAAACTTGACTATCACTGTTTCCATGATATTTCCTCTTGTCCTTCTGCAGATTGTCTTATGCACGAAATTTCCCCACACTTACAATGACCTAGCTGTGCTCTGCACCTCCTTTAATCGTCGGCAGATTATCACTGTTACCTTGAACTATTTTATTCTTCATTTAATCATACTATTAAAGTTAAAAGATCTAATAGAACATTCTCAATGACTGTGTTCACAATAAAGAGGTTATACTAATCTTGATAAGATTGTTCTGATGATATATTGTGAGGTGAGTGGTGACAGATTTCTGGTTAATTAAAAACTTCATCAATAAAATAAACTATTACATCCTACAATATATAGGCTATAAAGTTATATGGATGAATATATCAAGTTATATGGTTTCCTAAATATTTGTTATACCATCTGATAAGCTTAATTACAGCGTTCCACATCACAAACAAAATCCGACGCCTCGTTGGGCAGTACCAAAGAGGTAATAATAATAATAATAATGCTGTACAGAGGTAAACCCCGGCCAGGAATCAACTAAACAAATAAATCCATGCACATTCTTCCACTTTCCTTCCATAGCGCACCGTAATTCACCACTTAGCTGGCAAAGAAACGTTAAAACCAAAAGCAGAAAAAATGGATGGTTGAAGAGAAGGTGATTCTTTGGAATATATTTCAGGTGGAAGGGGGTATGTAATTCCGATACTATCCATTCTCTGACAGATGGAAATAGCCAAGATGAAAGTGTATTAGATGTGTGATTTCAATGTGACGGTCAATTCATATTTTGACATCAGGTGCCCGGTAGAGATTAGCGTCTTGCCCATCATCGTATCACGAATACGGGTTTTGACATGGTCTTATTAACCCATATTAAACAAGGCCCACGTACTACACTTCATTTTGGGGGCGTGGAAATGAGATTGGTGGCACTATGGTGGCATTTAAATCTGACCAATCAGATCGATAGAACAGAAATGAGGTCATATAAACAAAAATCAACATCGCTTTGCCGCCGCCCGTTTAAAGAGATAAAAGCATATTCTTTCCATGTTAATTTCCACAGAAAGGTTTGATTTTCTCTTGGCTTCAATTCCATACCGTACATATTCATCAAAATATGTAATGGCACACTCCTTTGTTTTATTTACGTTCGCAAACAAAGCGTCATAACCATTGATTTGTTTTGATTAGCTGAAATTTGCTACCAATACAGTAGGGCTAATTTTGATTGGACAATATTTATCTACGAATATGTAATCACTTGTGTTACCACGGCCCCGAGGAAGTATGACGAATGGGGTGTGGTTTGGACACGATGCCTGCCCATATACATACTATAGTCCTGTACTAGTAGTCACACCCGTCGCAAATACCACTTCCATCGGTAGACATGTAATTTACGGAACAACTTGAACTACTGAGCACTCTTACCTTTTGACTATCAGGGAAAAAATCTTCAAGTTTCTTCAATAATTCATTATACCATTCAAACTTGACTATCACTGTTTCCATGATATTTTTAATCACCTTGTCCAAAATGTTATATGCCTGATATTACGAAACACCTAGCATGTACTGCCCTATCGCCGTTACATTGACCTATTTTCATTTACGTTCAAAGGACAAATTCAATGTTTTAGTACTCATGTACTTTTATTACTCTTCGTGTGGTGAATTGTTATATACAGTGGTGTAACCTATTTTCGTGCATATAAGGATTCAAGACCGAATTTCGTCAAAGTTGAAAAAACGAATTTTTTTTTTTATTTCCTCAGATATTCTACAAAATAATTCAATTTGGTTCGATTTTCTTTATGAATTCTTCACTTTGACCCATATTTTAACTTCTCTTGGTATTCAATATCAATTCATTATAACTAGTGACAAACTGAGAAAATAAGATACGTAGCGTGATTTATTGCTAAAAGTCACTGAAACAACGTAAGAATATGGCCCACTTTGTGTTCCATAGAAATTTTCTGCTGACACGGAATCCGCTAGCTGATAACGTGACTTCATTCGTTGGACTACATTCTAGCAGACGACACTTGGAATTCCGATTACCACTTGGGATTATAAGGAAATTCGGCCGATAAAAATTGGTGACGTTTGGTAATAACTGAAATCCTCCATTTTGTATTTGTCAAAGTATACATTAATACATTTTACCTTTATTGAAACTACTGGATTCATTCTACTAGCTGATATTGTAGAGAAAACCCATGTTTATCAAAACAAGCAAATGCGGAGGTCATGCGAAGTCGTACATGTAAATTATTTATCATTTCCGGAAATGCACGAAAAATAGGTTAGCACGAAATTAGGTTACTTGACTGTATAGTTGTTGCTTTTCAAACTTTTGTTCCCGTTACCTCATGGAGATATCGACAATGCTCATTCTCTGACACCCAATTTATTAACCTCTACTCCATCCAATCGTTCCAGATCCTTCTACCGACTACCACAAAACTACATAATTTGCGATGTCAGCTTTAGCTGGAAGCGGAATTTAACTCTTCGTCTACTAACAGCTGCCTAGTTTGCGATATCAGCAGTTGTCATCCAAGTGGGCGAGCTTGACAACGGGGACTACGACCGACATCTGAACCCTTCAAAATTTTCTGGCAAACCATCACACCTCTCACCCACAAGCAGTACGTCTATGTAATTTATTGCATAATTAAAGATCTTTAGCGGAATTTTCTTATCCCGTCCTACAAGATTGGTGATCCTTTCCATTAAAGGGCTAGACCGGATTTTTCAATGAGTTTTTGTGATCTTGATCGTGAAATATATAATTCTTCATACCAACATGTAGATAAAGATTCCCCTTACCATTTACAAAATCCCGTTTCTGAGACTAAGATACGATTGTTAAAAAAATGGCGCATCTGTCCCTTTAAGGCCCAGTACTTGACTGCAGTGACATAATTTCAGTAAATAATTTCATATAAAATATTCTCCACAACACTTTTCATAATCAATGAGTGTGTTAGAATATATAATTATAGACTGATCTACTTCTGTGACATTGACACACTCCTGTAGCTGATGTTTGATATGTTGAGCAGCTATGACAGGTGTATGCTTCTAGGCACCTGATACCACTTTTCATTATGAAATACTTACTCACTTATGGTTGATATACTTCCTCATGTGAAAAGTTCAGTAGCCGCTACCATTGTTTCGCCAAAATAATGTTTTAGATTTCGTAAGATTTTTGTTTTGCGGTTCGGATAGTTAGTATTTGGTTTATTTATGGTAAACTATTCACATAGACAGTTCTTTGATATGTTTTGTATTTTCGCTTAAGCAGCTCGCCGAACTAAAGAAAGTATAAGAGGATACAGTTTGTAGCCTCTTAGCTAAGCTATATATATAATGGTCCTACAATGGATCATGCACCAACCAAGAATAAATTCCTGGATGTTCTTGGAATCCAAGACCTTTATGAAGATTACGAGATACTGTATTGTTAGAATAAATATAAACGTGAACTTGGCGGCCATTTTCTAGTAATTTCTTGGCAAGGCTTGATACTATGACCTTACTGTAACCTTGACCCCTGAATTCTTCAAATACGTGCAAAAAACCAATTGTTCCGTAATTGCTTTCTAACATGTATCCCACGAGTTGTTGCCCTTGATTATACAAAGCAACTGATGAAAAGCTGTCTATTAATGCTGTTATGTATTCCAAGACTCCGTCGTCCGCAAAATTCCAATTTGTCACCACCATGTCGACGTCAGCCTTGGTCAATGGTTTCAGGGAAAATCCTTCAGGTATCGATCTGAAACAGATACATTCTAGTGTTATATTATATTTCCATATGAGTAAAAATAACTGTTCATGCTACCGAATCGCAAAATTTATCAGGCTATTGTAGGGCATCACAAAAGTGAAACTATTGGTATCAATAAATACTTCTCACTTCATTTGTAGTTTTCAGAAAAATAGTTCATTCAAGTCTTATGCATCGCACTAGTACCCTATTTAAGATGGATGCCAAAGCCAAAGAGAACTTGTTTTTGATAGTCGCTTTAATAATTGAATGGCAGGGGAATGAGGCTACATTATTCAAAGCAATTATTTTACTAACAGCGTTTTCAACGTCTCTGAAGTCACAGACCAAATATTTACATCATCTGACATGGTTAATTTTCCGCCATTTTTCTCCGATACTTCTGTCTTTACATCATGCAATCTTTTATTGATGGCTGAAATTGAAAATTAAGTTGCTTATAAACGCCTAATCAACCTTAATACTTAGAATAGGCAGTAACTAGTGCTTGTTCTGCAGAAAAATGGCGACTAATAGGATCGAAGGAGAAGAAGGCAATACGTAACGCTAGACTGAACTCATTCTCCGGGATTGAAGTGTGACGCACCTGCAAATCTACAGCAGGATTTCCAATTGATAACGCCCGGGGTTTGTAACATCTTTTTTAATTGTTCCTTATTCTTCGTCACTATCGCATGGTGAGTCTCTAAAAATTCTAACTGAAAATATGTAAACAAGAAATAATGTTTTACGTTCTTTTTTTACTGTTCTAAGACCGTTACACATACAGTTATCTAAATAATTATCAAAAAAAGGGAAAAAAAGACGACAGCATATTTAGCTGTAGGCCCAATTACTTGGGTGAAGCCTGCTGTTATTCATATTCAGTTATGACAAGTACAAAAGATTTAAATAAATTCAATATCTCACTCTATTATCAGTCGTGTCTGGTTTCCAAATCACAGTGGTAAACTCAGGCCAGGAATCAACTATACAAATATATCCATGCACATTCTTCCACTTTCCCTCGATAGCGCACCGTATTTCACCGCTTAGCTGCCAAAAAACGTTAATAGAAATAAATAAAAGAAAATTTGTGTTGGAAGGATTTTGGCGATGGTGGACAAGAGTCATGGAGGGGTACGGCTTTATGTATAACTGATGGGATTAGTCGTCGCAGGTTGGGGATAGGCATTACTATTGGAGCTGGGAGCTGACACCGGGTCGACTCTTGGAAGAACTCGCACAGGCATCAGAATTGTTCGTACCTTGAGGAGGATTTGAACCCACGACACCTTAGAATCGCTTAGCAGTCGACAATCCAACTCGCTTCCGACTGACTTATTTATAATTTATGGCGTATGCATTGTATATTTTGTCCCGCCCGCCACAGTAACCTAACCATGATATTATCACCAATAAACGTCTAATGGGACATAACTCATGTTTGAACTTTCCTACCTTTTGACTATCAGGGAAGAAATCATCTAGTTTCTTCAATAATTCCCTATACCATTCAAACTTGACTATCACTGTTTCCATGATATTTCCTCTTGTCCTTCTGCAGATTGTCTTATGCACGAAATTTCCCCACACTTACAATGACCTAGCTGTGCTCTCAACTTACTTTGACTGTCGGCAGATTATCACTGTTACCTTGACCTATTTTATTCTTCATTTAATCATACTCTTAAAGTTAAAAGATCTAATAGAACATTCTCAATGACTGTGTTCACAATAAAGAGGTTATTACTCCAAGTGGTGGTGAATTGGTATATATCGTTGTCCTATACAGCTTTGCTTTTCCAACCTATGATACTAATAAGCCACGGGGACACCTTTGGGAGATAAACCGGTCACTTACTTATGCATTTAATGCTATTGGTTCACCAATTATACATTTTATTATCAGTTTGAAGTCATATCCTACGAAGTTTTTGTGTTTAATGTCTTTGTTGGCAAATACTCGCAGTCCTTAGTCCCTCTTTAGTCAGATTCAGCTTTACGGAAACTGCCGAAGACTGTTGAATACTTCTGGTTCCTAAATTTGTATCATGTATATTTTGCGTTCATCTCGCTTTATATGTCATTTAGCCGTGGGTGCATTTGAGCAAGAGGGTTGAGGAAATCGAATTCAATTGAATACTTTATTTTAACGAGATTGTGAATATATTCAGGCCAATATCAAGTACCGTCTCAAAAGCAGCAACCTGTAACATTTCAGACGCTCATTTTTTCCGCAATATTTTGGAAGGTAGCCCGAAGTTATGCTACGCCTCTGGCCTCTCTAATTAAAACTTTATATTCTGACTAATTGAACACTGGATATACTAATCTTGATAAGATTGTTCTGATGATATATTGTGAGGTGAGTGGTGACAGATTTCTGGTTAATTAAAAACTTCATCAATAAAATAAACTATTACATCCTACAATATATAGGCTATAAAGTTATATGGATGAATATATCAAGTGATATGGTTTCCTAAATATTTGTTATACCATCTGATAAGCTTAATTACAGCGTTCCACATCACAAACAAAATCCGACGCCTCGTTGGGCAGTACCAAAGAGGTAATAATAATAATAATAATAATTCTGTACTGAATACTAATTATATAGCATCTGGATACTCATTATCCACAAATGATGACACTATCAGTTTGTTACGGTAGCTCACATGCGACATATTTTTCTTTTTATTATTAAAAAAAACCTGTTTTTTCTTCAAATGTTTCGATTTGATTACATAGTTATCCACCAGCCATCAATTGTATAGCATAACAATCAACATACCCGATCGCTTTTGAGAAATTATCTCAACCGAATAAACGTTGAACTTCAGGTTCAAGCAAGCGTTTGACACACTGAACCACAGCGATTAAAGTAATGTTGTTTGTTGTAAGACCTTGACCCAGTAAATTGTCATCGCTAATGGTTCTATCATTAACTGGTGTCATATAAATGCATAGAAATCAAATTAAACATTAGTTGATGAATAAAAATTAATGGAAAACATGTAGTATTGATCAAACCACAATATAGTTCGAAATTTCTGTCTCTTCCAATTACCACTATATCATTAATCCGAAAAAGGAAAGCAATAAAGCTATCCGAATGGAAAGCGAAAAATCAAATAAACTATCATCTTGGAATGTTTGTAATTGTAAAAATTATTTATCTGTGCTGGAGATAGGCGGTTAGTTTTAGATTCCTCATTTACAATAAGATAGACGGGGACAGTTTTCTGAAAGAAGAGAATGTCGTACTAAGAAATAATGTCATGAGAATGGTATTAATCGTCATCATCTAAAGTAAATGTATGATTCTTGGTGAGTCCCTCTTTCTGTGGATTTTATAGTCTACTTATCATAGAGAATAAGGTTCAGAATCACTTTTTCTATAAAAAATAATATCGGATAGCACAATAATGAAAGATACTATGAGAATGGAATAATGTAATGAAAATGGCATTAACCTGTATTGACACATCACTCTATAGTCTGATATTATAAGTACCGAATAAAACAATGGTTTAATGGTAGATAACAATAGATATATATCTTTATACTCCAAGTTGATTTCCAATGATCCATGTTATTCATCTGTAAGCTGTCAGTAATTGTATCTCATAAAATTTAAAATTGACGAAACAAATGAATAAAATATAATTACGTGCAAATGCTGAAATATGATTGTTTTAACGGGTTTCGTATCCTCGTAGGGGGGAAATCTGGCAAATAACACCTGTCAACAGTAGCCTGCTGGCGCCCTTGTATCAGAATTTGCTTACGCTACTTGATCGTGATCCAACTCGCTACCGACTTAACTAATGGCTTATGTAAAGATTTTATTATGCCTTGTCGAATCCTATATTTGTAAATACATCTAATGAAAGGCGCTAAGAGGATTTGTGCTGTTTGAACAAATTAATTGTGTCATGCGTGTTATTCCAAATTACAGATTATAGTCTGAAATGTCATTTATTGTTTTTGCTCAAATTTGTTTACGTTAGTAGAACGGATTGAAAATCTACCGATCTATCTGTTGGTGTAAACAGAATGTCCATAAATTTTGATTCCTGATGGTAGCATGAAAGATTCATGTCCATGATTCATGAACAACACTAACAGCATCGTCGTTAAAAACCACACCGCTTTATATAAATTCCTTCGTATCAGGGGGTGGTGAAGTATTAGGGAATAAAAATTGTTTCATGTTTGTGTTTATACTTACAAAACAAACTATGAGCAGACTTATCTTGATTGGCCGGTTTGAAAGTCATGTGACATCATATATTTTCATCAGTGTCTTTTTCAAGTTTAACCTAGTACAATGAAATATGACTGAAATCTGTGAAACAGGTTGTTAAAGAAACGCACAGTAATAGTGTTAACCGTAATAGGAAATGCGATACGAAAAGTATACCGCACTAACCAACCTTGGAAAAAGCCAGTGTATCGCATTAAATAACCAGAGAGTAATTATATGAAAATAAGCTTGACATTTAAGAATATTGAAAACAACTTTAATCTTGTTTAAATGTTAATAATATCACATAATGTCAGTGACGTCGCAGTTCTCCCGGAACTTGTGGTAGGCCGACAACTTAATGGGGGACAACTTTCTGGGATGGAATTACAAACGCGGGACTCCCATAGGCGCAGTCCTACCAATGAGATTTGCATGGGAAAATTTAGAAAAATAAAATTGATTTGGTGCATGCTGACTAAAAACAAATGACCCCTTTCCTGTACCCCTACATGTTAGTCGTAATACACGGCGAAATAGGCGAACAAAATTAAACTAATCGAAATTTGAAGATTCTTATGTCCTACCTATTTTTCCAGACTGGATGAAGAATGACCAGGTCATTTATGCTGCATGGGGTTTAAAAATTTCGTTTATTTTTCTCTGTTTTTTTCACAGTCCTTTTTCTGCTTTCTTCGTTCGATGTTATCTGTATGGCAGTGACAATGTCGCTCATTTTCTTGTTGGTTTGGCATTATATGTTTGTATGCTATCTGGTCAATCGGCAATCCTCGGCAGTTTCCGTAAGGCAGAGTTACCAAAACGCTCTACCAAGAAAGTCCCACTAACTTTACGAAATCTGTCGAGAATTGCCGAATGTTGGAGTTATAAAATGGGGTATAAAATGTCGAGTGGAAACAATAGAAAAATATGTCTAGTAATAACATGTTATGTCAAAACCTCTCGTGAATTCAGCATTGATTTTATCTCTAAACGACAATTTATAAGAATGTCATGTTGTTTGTACTTGTTTTATTGGCATATTGCAGAAACTAGAGTCATGCTTAACACAATTATTGTTTTACCGCATTAAATTACACTTATTGCATGACACCTGATCCGGAAATCTCTTTTAACAAAGACAGTTGCTTTGAAATCACGATTTTTTCATGATTTTAACTAGAATTCAATAGCCTATTTAGCGCTATTTTGCATTTTCAGAATTGAAATTCTTGCGTATGATTTTGCAGGCTCATGTGGGAGCATAGGTTTCAGACCGGACGATGAAAAGTTAAAACGTACCTCTGGCGCTTTTCAAAATAGCGCTGTCGAATGGGAGTAAGTGGTTATTTCTTGCTGATCAGAAAGACAACATGGTGATTAGATGATGCAGACTAACAGTTTTTATCTGATATCATTCGACATAGATTGAGTATTTTGCTCTTAAAGATAATCGATATATTGCCAAGATTTTGAATAAGATCGAAGCAAATGATTTACAACCATTTTATGACCCCTGTTTCATGAGTTCTTTATTTTGTGAACGCTCATGTCCAAATTAATAGTCAGGTATTGGAATTTAATCTTAGTTTGAAACCGATTATTCTGATAAGGATTTTATACCCAAATACGTTTGAAGATCAAAACCCATGATTAAAAGTTTCAAAAGGAAGAGTACATCGTGACATTCAATTGCAAAGAATTGAAAGGTTTGAGAAGGTTTGGAGAATTAAATATAGACAATGGATGAGTTGAAAGGAGAAGTTATTGTCTAGTCTGTCATGTTTGACAAGCATAGAAACCAAAATCTGTAAAGTTTTAGTGGTGGAGCGGAAAAACTTTCTTAAGATGCGAAACAAGAAACCCGAACAAAGATATTGATGAGGGGTGGGGGAGGGTAAGGGGGAGGTGGAGTTGTATGCTGTGGGTAGTAGCAGATGTATAGAAAAGGCCCTTTGAAACGCGTTTTCCTACTATGGAATATAAAGATATAGAAGACGACGGTATTTCCATGTTCCATGCAACGGAAGTACAACGTTTATCACATCTAACTGTTATATAAGTCAAACACACCTGCCTTTCCATCAAGTTTTTTTGAATTAGGTAATGTTCTATTAATGTATCATTATTATTCTGATTCTGCAATGATATCAATTTCCTGATATTTATCTTTGACAAATGGAAATCTAGCCGACGTATGGTATAGAGACGTATACCTTATCAGGACCAAAAATACAAACAAAACACATTTTCTTATCGGAAGACATAAGTCCGCGTTGCATGACTAAGT